GGTGTCCTCTTCCACGCCACCCGGTACACCCCGAATAACATCCACGACTGACAAAATCCAACGCAAATAATCACATAACGCATTTGGTCAATGGAAAACGCCAACCTGATGGATGAAACCAGAGCATGGAAGCAGTATGTTTTGCGTCGTCAATTACCGCTCTCTTTCCTCCAAAAGTTCCGAAATGGACTCAAACGGTCAGCAATAGAGCAGAACAAGCCCGGAGTACTTTGACTTCACTGTTAACTGTAAGCCGTTTCCAACCTTGCTACCATATTTGGACTGCATTGCATTAGCGGAACGAACGACAATGGGAGGTGGTCATTATTTTCTGTAGCTGTCTTGGCCGGCGTATTCTGTTCTTACTTTTGTCCCCGGATATGGCAAACAACCGGTTTCAGCAAACTATCATCTGTTTCGTACAGCTGCAAGTATACGTTTGTGAACGTTCCCTACAACATGTATTTGAATTTATGTGGGAACTGGAAGTCAATGAAAAAAACCATACAATTTAAGAAGCCGTCTTCTGCCGGGTGTGATTTCTGCAGGCGGGCGGGAAAAAGCGTACCCAAAAGTCGGCATCCTGGCGTGATTGAAGCATCTCGAGGTTATACTACAAGATAATCAGTGCTGTAACCCCACCCAAGCAATTCTTTCTAATCGGAAACACACTGCAGAATTCCGGTTAACATTGCATGAGATAGGCCAGATACTGCAGTTAATTTGCCCGGGGGTTAGTGGAATCATCTGATTAAATCTCGTAAATTTTATCGCCAAGACCGTAGAGGAGACTGATTAGGCAGCGGATCATGACTTTTTCAAGAAGAGCTGGGGCAGCAGGTAAAAGCCCTAATTTGTTTACTCCAAAGATTATCTAAACGAAAGGTCTGCTAAGCTGTCAGGTCTGTAGGCTCGGAATTCCGAAACCATATACGGCTCTTTTTTCTTCATTTCTGCATCGTTTCATGGACTGGAGTCGGCGTCTGAGCTGGCCTGGTCAATATTTCGTCAGGAAAACGGACTTTTCCATAATCTCATAATACTTCGGTTGTGTAAAAATTTATGAACTTTATAACTTTACAATAAGTCAACTATTTTTGCGTTTTACTTCGCCATACATATTTTAATAGGTAGTTCTTATAGTGAATATTCAAAGTTTGAAACGAACATCTAAAAATTGTGATGGAAGATGAAAGCGACTTATGAGCGTTCACTTATATTCCTTCAAACAACATTAACACTTCCTTGATTTTGTCAACCAGACCCGAACTATTATACTATATAAATCATATGCAGCTGTTTCAGTGCTCTATTACAAATAACTGATCATCCATTGCTTGCACAGAATCGGCACTTCTCATGCGACTGGGAAGCATATTCTTCGGCCCATTCTCTATGTGGTCTCTGCAGTACACTAACGCATGTGGAATCCGAGCTGCTCACCCTCCTTTGTGGGAAAACCCGCTGTGTTGAGAGTGTGTGTGTATGCACCCCCAGACGGACCACGTGGTAGATGCGCTGGACCGACATGAGAGCCATGCCGGATCCTGGCAGGCATTATCGGACTTGCACACCATAACAAATGCCAACATTTCGGAGTGCGGCAGCAGACACGGTTGCGGACAGAGGACTCCTGTTGACCACCGCCCCATTTTGTGGTTGAAATCCTGGTCATTTGCTGCGTAGACGAGGGGGTGTGCAGTGGATCGCCAAGGTGCGGGCTCGACCGCGCCATCCACCTGAGCTCTTTCCTCCCGCCTTCTGTCGCCCTGACTATGTCTTGAGGCCGGGCTCGGAAGTGCAGTATATGTTATGCAAGCCTACTATCACTATAAACTAATGCATGCGCAAGTCACTGTCCCAGCTCTCATCTTGCTGTGTGGCACAGGGTGGACATCGCTGATTCTGGCGCCTGCGTCTGATTTCAAAATGCTACATTTTTCACTTTTTTTCGTTCCTCTAAGTTTAGATCAATAGATTTTGTTGATACGAGGGCCGTTCGTAGTATTCATATAAACACTTTGCCACCTACTGCTTTGGCTACAGAGGCCTTCAAGTGTTCCAGATCTTCTGCAGTGCTCCTGAAACACTCGGTTTTCACATTAAACTTTGAAACACTTGCTAGCGATTTGACCATCCCTTAAATTAACCCGAACGATGAACACCCCTACCAGCATCATGAATATTCACGATTGCAATCAACAGGCCAATGAGCCTGTGATTCATTGTTAGAGCTTTGGACTCGTAAGCGTCCACTGACCAAAGAATTCAGGTTTAAATCTCAGGTCCCGAAAACCTTGGATTGGGTATTACTGGACGACGATAGCTAATAAACCAGAAGAAGCCATCTCAGTCTTCCTTATCTCTGTCGATACTCCCCTACTACATTCCTGACTCTCTTAAGATTTCTAAAACCTGACTGTGCGCTAACTTGGTAACCATATCTTTAAATGAAAACTCCCCACTTCCTTCCCTAGGAGACTTCCTTGCATAGACCCGGCACAATTTTCCCTCATTAATTTAAACTTATATATGAACCTATGGAAGACGAACCGCGTAATCACTTAGAAGGTCCCACACTGATTTTCCTTTACGCCAAACAACTTTTGTCTGTCCTATTCATCCTCCTCTACCACCATCACCTCTCCCTCCCCCTTCTCCTCCTCCTCCTCCTCCTCCTCCTCCTCCTCCTCCTCCTCGTTCTCTTCCAAGACTTTTTTTTCAAGTGATCCTCGAGTGAATTAAAGCGTTTTTCTACACTGTCAGCGCCCTGAGTTAAGAGCCCTTTTTAAAAAATCCCTGACCCAGCAGTAATTGGACCTGACAGTATCTCTTCACTTCTCCTTAGCTCCTGTTTAGCCCAACTTGAATTGCTCGAATTGTCGAATGCTGAAATATGCGTCAGCAGAGAGAGAATGACGTCAGACCAACACGCCTTCAAGATCGATGAGACCGAATCGTCGCAAGGGGAGAGCAGGAGGTCAAGTGACTAACATTCTGCCTGCTGACCGGTGATGAGGATTTGTTTATCAACTACTCGAATGTTATCTGGTCAAGTGCCCGTACGAACTCTTGGCAGAAATGCCTGACCAGTCATCAGACAAGCGGCTGTGTAGAAATTCCCTTGTGTAAGTCATGCGGCCCCTGCACAATTCTACTTCTCCGAATTCGAAATGTCAGACGAATAAAGTGTCAGGTTCGATGACTGGGATTGCGCCTTCTCATTTGCAAAGCATAACTTACGCTTTGAGCTTGAAACTCCTGCTGATATTTAGCAAGGACGGTATGAGGAAGTGAGAAACTGAGGTGACCTAAACGGAGTCTGTCTGATCTACTTGTAACAGTAACTGTTTCGAAGACTGGTTGGCAAGCCTGCGTTTGCTTTCGATAAATTATCGCCAGACTAGTATAATCATATGGCAACGGGGTACAAGTCAAACATGCCCGTGATTAGAAAGTTGATTGAAGTTCGTTTTAAAACACAGGCGGGATGAGGGCAGAAGGGCACGGAGAGTTGTATGTAGTTAGTCGACCTTTGACCACGCTAAGCGCGGAGCCCGAACGAGGTTCTTCCGCGAGCATAAGGCTGAACTACGTAACCTGATTGCGTCCGCTTTTGTTGTTGCTAACGGACGCTGGTCCAGTAGCTGAGATGGCAGCCTATCCTTACCTTGCCCGTGTAAGATAAAGTTAGTAGAGAATAATATTCTGACCCATGCTGCTGGGAAGGTTTGTGAGACAGCTTGATCGAGGCGTCTTCTTAAGAGTTCACCCGCAGCGTCTCCTTGGGAAGGGACTTTAATGAATTGAGTATTTTTGAAGCATTTTTTCCCGGATATGAATTGAAAGCAGACATGTACGGCAGAATTTATTGGGACCAATAAATTTCGTGACAGCTTATCAACTGCAACCCGTCTCTGCATAACGTAAGTAACGAATGGAAGCGCACAGCAGTATGAATTTGTACATAATGACAATGCAAGGTCAAGATTCAAGGTGATGAATAATCAGATGAAAGACGTTCCCATAAGCATCATATAGTAAGGACGGAGACAGAATGTTAACAACAAATCACAGTCACGAGTAAGTTGAGGCGTGAAGGTTACCAGTGAAATTGCAGATTGATTACGTGGTCTAACTGCTTGCACAGGTCTGGTTTTTCCCTCCGTATGTAAGCTGCTTCCAAATAACGCAGAGTTCGAGTTGTATGCGCTCGGACAAGTACTGGAAAAGCTGTTTTGGGGTCGAAAACATGACCGCTATCTAACAGGTTTTTCGTTAGATACCAACGGGGAGTTTTGCTTTCCTGTTTTAAAAGCCAATTAGGCAAATGCTCAGCGGCCCTAGTTGCGAATTGCCTTCGCGTTCGCCCAGTGCACTTGTATCCGCAAGTGCACGTGAATTCATACACACAATTTGGGGTGGCATGCATAGGCAAGGCATCTTTTGCCCCGTTAATTGGAAGGCTTTTGGTGGAACTGATGAAAACGAGTTCTGCTGCGATGCACGTTCTTTCTATCGTGCAACTCAAGCGTCGCGGGATTGTGTTTGAGACGTTGTCACCCTTAAAATGTAAACATATTATAACGGGCGTCTTCGGAACGGACTGTTCCGTCAACTTTGCCCGTAAATGGTTGCTTTACTTCTGAATGACGCGTTCAGGATAACCACGATCAAGTAAGTCTTCTTTGATGCGGGCAGGTTCTGTATCTATGGTCCCCCTGGAGCAAATATTTCTCGTTCTTTGAAAAAGAGTCTGCACTAGATTTCGTTCCCATTGTATTGGTGCAAAGCTTTTAAAATGTAAGTATTGCCCTTTTCATGTAATTTTATGGAAGACGGAGCGTCTTACTGAACCATCATCCTCTCTAAACATGAGGACGTCTAGGAACGACAACTTGCTAAACTGTTCTATTGAAGTTTTCTTTTTAGTAGTCAGCCTGGTGGGTTCTTTCAGTCGTTCGGCTATAGTCCTTGCAATAAATCTATCGGAATGCCCGTTTTCGCGAAGCAAGTCCAGGATTTTTCTAAGCTCCTCCTCGATATTGTCTGTCTAACTGTGCGCCAAACACCGAACTAAACTTCATTTATATTGGAGGAGCCAGAAACTACCGAAGTCCGTGTATTGTCCGGACCAGGTTTTCTTCTGATAGACGCTTCCTCGGACGTTACCGTCAGATCTCCTGTTTGAAAGAACATCTAAGAAAGGAGACGAACCAGCCGTTTCCACCTCCAACGTACTTAATCGACAGGTATGCCTTATTTACAGCATTTAAGAGGGTAGTTACGTCGGTTTCTATGGAGGCAACTGCAATAATGTCATCAACATAGAGACCGTAATGTTTAAGCTTATTGATCTGATCGCATAGTTGGAATCTCTCTAGCTTGCCCATGAAGACATCGGCTAAGAGAGTTCCAAGAGGCAAGTCCATAGCAACGCCGCCTATTTGTCTATGGAGTCGGCTGTCGAAGAAGAACTTCATATTTAATGTGCATCTTAGTAATAGTGCTTGTCGTGTACTCTTAAGAATTCCTATTTCCTTTTTGATTGGTTGATAGGAACTTACACATGTAATCAACTCTTTCGGTTACCGGGACGCTTTTAAAAAATGATGAGACGTCTAGCGAGAACATCGCCAAGCCTTTATAGTTAAGATTTTTAACGTCGTCAGTGGACTCGAAGGCATCTCGATAGCTGCATGGTGCTAGCTGATGCTGTATTGGCTTGAGTTTCTCTGCCAACCACATTACTATCGCATGATATGGAGAGTTTAGCATGTCCAAAATCGGACAAACTGGCAGACCGTCCTCATGGACCTTGAGTAAGCCATATAGTCGAGGGAAATGTGTGCAGACTGGTCAGAGCTGTTCGAGGTCACGGCCCGCTTATGAAACCTCCTGGGCGCAGCCTCCGCAGACAGTCAGTCAGTTTTGCCTCCACCTCATCCGTGCAATCTTCTTCTTCGTCTAATGTCCAGAATTTCTTCTTGTCTGCAAAATGGACTGTATCGCCGTTACGCAGTCCTATCTGTTCATTGTAACAATGCCTATTCCACTATCCGGCCTAGTTACCGGGATATTTTTTGTTTCCTCGAGCTTCTTCTGGCTTTTCCTTGTGTGCTTTTGTCAGCAACCCTCCGACTTTTGGCCTCTTGTTCAGGTACTGATAACTGCAGTATTGATTTAAGGTGCTAGATACTGTCAGCGGAAGCGGGTACTAGATCATAGGTTTGGTTCCAGAGGTTCGCGAGCTGAGCTTCTAATCTAACAGACTAATTTTTCGACAAGGTTTATGAAGCTTAGGACAAAGAGACAATGCTTCAAGTGATGTTTTGTCAAGTGTCATATAAGAGTGGTTGTGCGCGTACCGACCTGGATCTTTTGTAAACCGTGATTGTGGTTTCATTTCATGTGCACTTGAAAGAAGCACACAATTCTTTACATCTCCACGTTTGTTTCGTCGAGGAGAACACAGAAATCTCCATTCTTGCCTTCTTCACTGCCACCAACCAGTGACACCTCGGTGATGCCGATGAAAGCCGACGTGATGTGAGCCTGTAGAGCAGTGGTGAGGATTTTGAGAAGGGATTTCAACGAACAAGCCAAATGTAACCATTCCAGTGCCCCTGATCACGTCGGTATCACATCGATTTCTGATTGCCTAGCGTCATATGACCGACTGCGTTCTAAGGCAGGACGGGAATATCCATTTCGTTCCTGCTACACGGAAAGATCTGTGTTTGCGTTTGAAAGGTATTTGTTGAAGACACAGGTGGTTACCAAACCAAGTTGATTGACTACAGAATAAAATCTCTGTAGAGATGAGGTAGTGAAAGGATGAAAATGCATGTCGGCTACCACACCTTTTAGGGGTAGGAAATCAGCGAACCCTAACACGAGGCCAGTCACTGTGCTAAAATGCTTTGAAGAGACCGTAAACAGGTAGCGACAAGAGCCACATACGGAATTCCATTCGTCCTTTGCAGACTTGCGCTGTTGGCCCTTTGGTCAATCGTTCGCCAGCGTAGCAATGAACACCTTCAACTGATGCGGAGCTCGAATTTGTGACGCTCCCCGACGATGCAAGTTTGTTTGCTCTCGAAACGACAGTACAGTGAAAGTACTCCTCCGGGGATCGTCACTTCCTGTTACTTTGGTCCAGGAACGTGAATTTTTTGCTACCATTCTCAATACGACTCATTGTACTCTACAATCGACTTGTATCCAAAAAGACTGGCTTCACAAGTCACACTTGTTCAATTTTCAGCCGTCAACAACCAGTCTGTTTTCGCTCCAGCTTCTTCTCATTTTATCTTTGAGCGCTGGACTAATCAAAGATTTGTGATGAGCTTCATATCACCTAAGACAGTCATAAAATTCCATTCGGGTTTTGATGAGGCTTACGGCAAATCCCCTTCTCCTTAATTGTGAAAGCATTTTGGATGCATTGCGAGAGTACAGTTTGTGACCTAGTAGAAGAAAGGTCCCGAACACCGCAACAAAACCATTGCAGCGCGCAAAACACCCCAAATCAATTTAATAAATAAAAATTACCATTTCAAGTGTATTTGTTGCTATCCATTCAAATATCACAACCGCATTTTCGTAAGAAAATAACATTCAGTAGTTAAAAAAACAGTCCTCCACATTAGCAGTTGCGTGTTTACGGCCACCTCCTCACATCATGTATACAGCTTACGGAGCCAATAAATGCGTTGAGCGAAAGCTGTATACCTCCACCGAGAATACATCATATCTCGTTGGAGAAGAAAAAGTTGTGTTTGGTGGTTGAAATGTCTCTCCACATATTCACTTTTACATTTAAGCATTAGCTGTGTTTTGGTAGGACAAGCGTGTCAAGAAGCTTTACTGTCAAGTCTCATTTCATAACATCTTTGAAGAGATTACAATTAAACATTTGTCCCTCACAAAAATTATTTGCACCTTTGATATTTAATTAGTCGTCGCTCCAACGCATTGAATCAGCTACGGCCAACATCTCCCTAATTTCTTTCCGACCAAGATGATCACGCGCATTTCGTGATTTTTTTTCTGGGGAGCTTCTAGTGTCTCTGAGAGTAGTTAAAACCCATTTTCAGGACGATGCTCCTTTGAGCTAGCTGAAAAGCCGGCGGTTCGCACCCTGTGCCGAAAACGCCGCTTTAAGTCTGCCGAATAGTATCCCGCCAACCTCCTCCCCCGCCCCGTCCACCCCAACCCATCGCCATCCTCGCCTACGCCTCCTTCGCCTTCCTCTAGGCGGGAAGAGGGGGAGGGGGCGAACTCGCTGGCAAACGACCAATGCTAAAAATAGATTTGTTCGAGTTTCAGGCTCGGCCGGATTGCCACTGCACTGGGACAAACTCGCGGGGACAAAAAAACGTGTATGAGCAAAGCCAGTTTAACTTGCCAAACAGCTGTAGGGTGCAGAAACCTCCGTGCCACCGCGTGATCTGCGCCTTCAGAAGAGACGGCAATTCAAGTTCAGTTACAATCAGCATGAAGGCAAGGAAAATTGTACTGCACTGATTTTCGGCTAGGCTGAAATGCTGAACTTTTGGGCCGCGAGAGAGAGAGCACTCAGACGTGACTGCGGATGTAAGATGGAGGAAGGTAGCGAGTTGGTTGTTTCTGTGCAGCATCCGTCACTTCCGGGGAGAAATTATCGTTTAAAAAAGTCAGGTAAGGGTCGATTACGCCCTCCTGCTCTCAAGTGCATGCGCAATGTGGGCTCTTCACGTGTGTGTGTCTTACGAGATCGATAGCAACCGACATTCACAGCGGTGGCACCGTGGTCATTAGCTTGGTTGCACATTTGGAGGTTTATTCCTGTGCTCGAAAGACTCGGGTAAAATGCACCCACCATGGCATTTCCAAACTCCAGAGACGGTCTTTTGTAGTTCGCTTAGT